TCAGAGCGGCTTACAATCTCCTTTCCCTTCCCTTCCCCACAACAGCCCCCCCCCTGTGAGGGAGGTGGGGCTGAGAGAGCTCTCCTGAGAACTGCCCTTGAGAGAACAGCTCTGAGGGAACTGTGGCTTGCCCAAGGTCACCCAGCAGCTGCTCATGGAGAAGTGGGGAATCAAACCCAGTTCTCCCAGATCAGAGTGCCCGCTCCTAGCCACTACACCAACCTGGCTCTCACTGGAGTCCAGGTGAACTTCGTACAGGTCTAGAAACCACCCGGGAAAGGAATCCATTCAACTGTGGATGATTCCTGGATCTGATTGCGGTGTGTGTCATACCTGTGGGGGCTGTCACTGGCACAGAAGTTCCAGCCCACTTTTTTCCACTAGCGGGTTTGGGGAAGCTCACAGCATCACAACTTGGTACAGCACCCAAATTGCTACTCACTAGCTTGTGTAGCAGCTCACACAATCAGGGCTCCAGATCATCTTTTAAAAACCCATTCATCTTGCTTAGGCTTTTGCATACTCCAGATTGGCACACGTTTTACCCGTCCAATAAGAAATGCAAAGCACAGAAGTTCAACTCAGCATTTCAGGTAGTCTGGGCTACACACGCATCAGGAACTTAAAAAAACAACAACACACCCGTACAAATGCTAGGACAGTGGTGGCGAACCTATGGCACGGGTGCCAGAGGTGGCACTCAGCGCCCTCTCTGTGGGCACGCGTGCCATCGCCCCAGCCAGGCCCAGACCGTCATTAAAGTGTGGAATACTCTACCAAATAATTTTAAGTCAATGAAAGCATTTGGGATTGCGTTCCTTACTTTGTTTGGATCATCTTCAGTTAATGTGTGAGTTGTTTTTTCTAAAATGAAACCTCAGTATTCAGGTTAAATTGCCGTGTTGGCACTTTGCGATCAATACGTGGGTTTTGGGTCGCAGTTTGGGCACTCGGTCTCTAAAAGGTTTGCCATCACTGCGCTAGGACATCTTATTTCAGCGATCCCATGCTTATCTTGCTTACACACATATTACTACTTTATTTTTAAAATGTACTGCTTGGCAACCCAGCTCTCCTGCCCCCCCCCCCCCCCCCCCCCACGCAAGCCCGGGATTGCCCTCCTGCCTGCCGCTCCTTTGGGCCAGGGAGCGCTTCTGCAGCCTGACACACACACACACACACACACACACGGTCGTGAGATCTCGAATGCACACTCAGGGCCAACAGAGCAGACGATGTTGCCCAGTCTACACACGATTCAGTTCCAAATTGGATTCTGTCAAGGAATTTGTTACAGGAGAGAATGGCTTCCCAACAGAGAATCTCTTGATGGCAAAGTTCTTTAGTTTCCGATAACTGTTTGAAATAAGAGCCAAGTTAAAAAAAAAAAAAACCTGCAAAAATATTTGTGTGTGTCTGTGTGCGTGCAAGCACACAGGGGTTATTTTTACACATCTGCTTCTGCGTTCAATTATTTCACAGCTAGAACTGTTCACAAGGCCATTTAATGGCAGAAAGAAACTCTTAAGAACACATTTTTGGTACAAATACGGTGGACAACCTGTTGGGAAAAACCGTTCTTTGAATTTCAGTTTGGAAACAAAGGAGATGTGCCCATGGAAACAACCGCAGTCCAGATTCTACCCAAGATATTATGGTGACCTTGAGTGAAAAACAAGTGAACAGGTCAAGGAGCTGTTGAAGCAAACAACTAATCAGAAGTATTTCCCCTTAAGAAAGCTGGATGGGTTGCTTCAGCTGCGTAAATCCCATTAATTTCAGTCAGGTTTACACACAGCAATAGTCCGAGCATTCCACCCCAAACAGTGGATGAATACAAACCATTCTGGTAGGTTTTTAGAGTGTCCATGCAAACTCCTAGAAACCGATCATCTGTTTGTTTCTTCCAAGGAGTGAGAATTTTAATGCCATTTAGCTCCTGACCTGCAGAAGCATGGGGACTGATAAAATTCTTCTTACCTGTTGAAAATACAAGACCAGCTTTACCAACTAGTCACGTGCATGCCAAGCAGAGATGTCAGGTGGCCGGGGGGGGGGGGGGGGGGGGCGGGGGGGGGGGGGGAGTTGGTCTAGGCCAGTGGTGGCGAACCTATGGCACGGGTGCCAGAGGTGGCACTCAGAGCCCTCTCTGTGGGCAGGCGTGCCATTGCCCCAGCCAGGCCCAGACCATCATTCATTAAAGTGTCGAATTTTCTGCCAAATAATTTTAAGTCAATGAAAGCATTTGGGATTGCTTTCCTTACTTTGTTTGGATCATCTTAAGTTAATGTAGGAGTTGTTTTTTCCTAAAGTAAAACCTCAGTATTCAGGTTAAATGGCCGTGTTGGCACTTTGCGATAAATAAGTGGGTTTTGGGTCGCAGTTTGGGCACTCGGTCTCTAGAAGGTTTGCCATCACTGGTCTAGGCAAACAAAATGCCAGGGGTCCTCTTTACCCTGGGAGTCACCAGAGATGGGGAAGTCTTGTTATTTGTTTTCCTGGAGTGTTTTGGTTGGGTCTGGATAGCATGCAGGTGTCCCCCAGAGGGGAAACTTTGTGGTTGGCTCCCAGCAGCCCATGATGACTTACCACCCAGGAAGTGGTCACCTGTATTTACCCAGAGTCTGGAAATTTTGTTAAGGCGTGGGTAGGGATGCAAGTCTTTCCCACAGCCTGACCATACTGACAGAAAGGATCAATTCATACAACCAAACTGGAAATCTGTAGAGAACGTGGACTGGTTGGACCCTCACAGCAATGAACAGGTGTTGTACGAATGCACTGCCATTCACCCAGTTTGTGGCTCAAATTCATAATGATTCCAACATTATAAAGCAAAAAAAGGGGGATGCATGGTGAAACGAGTTCTCTCTCTTTCTCTCACTCACACAAACACACTCTATCATATGCTGAATCCTGCCTAGATCCACATTATCAAGGACTCCAGAGCTTGAACTAGGAACCTCACAGTCCGGCTCCGCAACAGACCTCAAAGTGACCTGGAATGGAGAATATACGGGACAGGCCTGAATTTGGGTATGGTTACCTATGGTCCCAGCCCAATCCTGATATATGCAATCTATATTCTCAGAGTTTGAATCGTGGGCTCACTTTCATGACCAGCTTCGACACCCACCACACACCTATAGTTCTAGCAATATACATTCAGTGCTCAAGTACAATATTCCTAAAATATTTGATTCCCTCCAACATGAAAGATCCCTTTCAGCGCAGTTATTCCCGTGTTGCACCATCGGGTAGATATAAAGGCTATTTCGTAGAAATAGATCCGACTGGCTCCATTGGAGCTGCCCTACAAATACTTTTTTTGGGGGGGGGAATAGCAGTTCAGGTTCTGAGAAGGAACCTGTTTCCCGAAGACCATCTACTGTATAGCAAAGGAAACATTAAAACTGATAGGGTTAAAATGAATCCAATCATATTTCTAGGGGGGCAAAGTGTACAGAATAGCCACTATTGTTGATACCGAATGAAAACATCACTCAGGAGGTGTGACAGTGGTTTTCAAACTGCGTTCTGCGGAACCTTGAGATTCTACAGGGGCTTATCATGAATTACTAAACGAGGAGTTCAGGAATGGCAGACGGGCTTCCCTTTCCCGCCCATCTTCCCTGGCTACCCAGAGCGGCAGAAAAATGCTGGGGGGGGGGGAGTTCCTGAGAACCCTCTCAGATGAGGCCACAAAGAGCCGATCGGTTCCCACATGAATTCTTCAGCTCACAGGGGCTGCAGGGCAGACGAAGAAGAAAAAATTATTCATTTATTTATTTGTAGTATTTTTATCTCCCCCTCCCCACGAGTGGGCTCAGGGCGGCTTACAATGCTTGGCATTAAAGGGCATTAAAAGAAAAAGGAGGAGGAGGAGGAGGAGGAGGAGATTGGATTTATACCCCACCCTTCACTCGGAGTCTCAGAGCGGCTTACCATCTCCTTTCCTTTCCCCTCCCCACAACGGACACTCTGTGTGGTAGGTGGGGCTGAGAGAGCTCTTTTGAGAACGGCTCATGAGAGAACAGCCCTGAAACAACTTGTAATTGACCCAAGGTCACACCAGCAGCTGCATGTGGAGGAGTGGGGGAATCAAATCTGGTTCTCCCAGATTAGAGTCCACGCTCTTAACCGCTACACCAAACTGGCTCTTGAGGGTATATCGACCGATGTGGAAAAGGGTTCTCTCAAGGCAGAACATTTGAAAACCACTGGTCTAAAGCAATGGCATAGACACATTAGAATTATGTTCATATAAAACCTGTACAGGTGTATAGAGCTTGGGAAAAGTCTAAGAACGGCGTTTGAATGAATTATTGCAGTTACTTGACACAGAAATGGTAACATAAACACGTCAGAGAAATAAACCAACTTGTACTGAACTATGTCATACATGAATGTTTGAGTTCTACCAAAATGGCTACAGACCAGCCATGTGTGCATCTGAGAGACAAGGAAAGCTCTGGAAACTACCAAGTAATCAAGCTGCTGTGATAAAGGGAGGTGACAGTTTGGAATTTTTTTATTTCACACTATTTATCCAAATGAAATTAGTTTTAAAGTAATCAGACTTAAAAGGTGCAAACTGGTGGGTAGATAGATCTCCCCCTCAGAAATCTGCTTTTAACTCCAATTTTCCCCTCAGAAATCTGCTTTTAACCCCAATACTTCGGACTTGTAGGCTCTCTAAAGACCTTGGCTGGTAATCTAGATATGAAAAAAATAATAACTCAGATGTCGACTCGCTGGAAATTCATTGTTACACTTCCAAACAAAGCATACAGACAAGTAAAGCAGAAACGGCCAGTGCTTAAATGTGACGGAGACAGTCACATGATCAGTGTTCCCTCTAAGCTGAGTTAGTGTGAGCTAGCTCACAGTTTTTTAGCTTCCGGCTCACACATTTTTGTCTTAGCCCGGGAAGGATGGCTCCAGAGCAAACTAATTTATGCAGCAGCCAAATCACTTGCTCACAACTTTGATGCCGGTAGCTCACAGAGTAGAATTTTTGCTCACAAGATTCCACAGCTTAGAGGGAACATTGGTCATGATTTCATGATTAACTGTGAAAATGGGATACCAATTGGTGACTCTCCCAAAATTTCTCTCGTCTGCAGTACGAACAGGGCAAAACTATGACAAGATCCACGGGGGCACAGGGCACTGAAGAGCAAACCTTTCATCACCACCTTAGCTACTCGGTAGCCTGTCTTTGCAATGGCCCATGGCTCCCGGTTGCCCCAGCCTCCAGGAGAACGTGGGACAATTCTAAGCAATTTTGGAGCAGATAAACAACACAATCCACCAGGAAGATTTCCTAAAAAGAGGCTTGTGAAGACGACCTTCTTCATGGATTGTGCCCACTTGGCTGTACGGGGGGAGGGGGGGGATCCCTACCCAAATCCAGTGTATCCTTTGTGGAGTGGCAAATGATAACATCAGTAATAATATCTGTGCAAAATATGCCTTTCAGAAACCAGTGTCTACAACTAATGTTTTAAAAACAAAGTAACTTTACATACCCTTCCCCCCCTTCCCCCACCCCCCATTACACCAAGAGGCAGCGTCATCCGGTTGACGGAGCGTCTATGGTTCAAAGCCTCACTCGGTCATGGACATGCTTGTTCATTGGTCTCGGGCATACCATTTTCCCTCAGTCTCAGTTCCCCATCGGAAACATGGGAATATTAGTGACTTAACCTCGTCAGATTGTTGTCAGGGCAAAGAGGTAAGGGTTGTAAAGCTCTTTTCAAACTAAAAGTGCTACAGAAACTATTAATATTAAGAAACCCCAAGTGGTCAGTCCGGGCTTTGCATCCAATCTTGCATTTCAAACTACTGAAAATAAAAACAAAAACAGAGCTCCACCTCAGACTTCCAGGGCTGTTAAGATGAAAACTATTGCTCGGAAATACAACAAACCACTTGGCAATCAGGTTCTGATCTGAGGAATAAAACAGCAGCAGTGTTCACGTCTACAGACTGCCTTAGGGTCGCTCTTGAATCCCTCTAAGTGAGACGTTTCCCGTAAGGAAGCCATTTTGTACTCCTATCTGCCATGTTTTCTTTCAGTAAACACAAGATCCACTCCAATACCAGGTACCTGGAACTGAGCTCCCATACCACCATTTCTGTCCTTTGACTCGTCCAATGAAATGGAGCACTCGGAAGGATACGGGAGCTGCAAGAAAGTTGGTTGACCTCAGGGGCGGGGAGGGGGAGAGAAGGAAACAGACTCCTGTTTTCCTCAAAAAAAAAAAAAAAGCACCCAACAAAATGTACCCTCTTCTTTGTCACCTAGCAAAAGTCTCAGTTCATAAATTAGATAAGTCTTCCATCAAATAAGTTAAAAAAAACAGAAGAAGAAGAAGAAGAAACGGTAGCAATTCTGTTTCTCTGGCTCAGTGCCAGGCAGAGGCTAGTTCGCTTAGACTCCAAGTCACTGTTCACAATATCTGAGTTTGTAAATCTTCACATCAGTGCAGGAAGTTTCCAGATAATTCTTGTGTCTGTGTGAAGGGGCTGGTTTAGAGAGAGGCTCAACCCAGGCAGGAAGAGGGCTCGATGAACAGCAAGGGGGGGTGTCCTTCCCGGCCTTCCCGGGGCACACCGCTCGGAGATGTCCAACACCGTCCGTATTGCACAAGTAACGAAGGAAGATGGCCTCTCAGCAGTCTCGTCCACACAATCAGTGATCTCTGCACATGGGCAAGTTCACAAAAGTGAAGACGTTAAACTCTGTCAAGATGGAGAAACACAAAAAGATGCCATAGAGGAAAAGGCACACGGTCCCCAGCTTCTTATCCAGCTTCCACTTGTTCAAGTGAACACCAAACACCTACAAAACACACAAGAAGAGCTTGTTTTTATACCCCATTTTTCTCTACCTTAAGGACCGATTTCCCACAAGCGCTGCTCCCTTTTGCCCCGATGGTACGTGTCAATTTCACACAAGCTGCTGTGTGGCCCGCATTTTGCCCCGGGCAGCTTTGCGTGATTTCCCCCGCGTCTACTCAATCCTGTTTTTTGAGGAGGCCTTCAACGGGAGAGCATCCAAGAATAATTCAACACATTTTCTGCAGAGGGGTGGCACTGAGGGGCAGGCCCAGCCTACCTGCTATCTTGGGGTCTCATTTAATCTTTTACTCGTGCTAGGTTAACAGAAAGCAATTGAAACATTTAGAAAATCGCGTTTCAGTTGACTTGTTAATTGCATTTCTATAGACTATAAAGTTAATTGGCTGTGTACATATTTCTAGCTCTGGCTTTGTGTTTATAGCAGACTGAACTAGTCTGGATTATGGAAGATTGACCGGGGGGAGGGGGGCTCACATGATTTTCTTTCTTCTTGAGTTAGGATTCCACCCCTGCCGCAAAAAGAATGTGATGTTCCATAGCAGCACCAACTTTTCCACAAATCCGATCAAAGGAAGACAACGTGCTCTTCCGCATTCTCATTTTCCTCACTTGTAAATTCCTGTTTCTTCAGGGTTTCCCCCCCCCTTTTCCACACTTGTTTTGCTCCCTCTAGTGGTTGATTCAATATTATACCCCTTTATGTCTGGCAGGTTTTTATGCCAGCCAAAAAGCGACGTAATACCAAATCGACCACTAGAGGGAGCAAAACACATGCAGAACACACACAACCCTCCAGAAGAAACAGGAAAATAAGAATGCAGTAAAGCCCGATATCTGATTTGTTGCAGAGAGGTAATTCTATTAGTCTGTTGAAGCAAAGTCAAACAAGCATCCAGGGGCACCTTAAAGACTCTCAAGATTTATTTCTTTTCTTTTTTTTAACGATTTATTTATGTATTTTCCGTTACAAAAAACAAATAAAATTCATTTTTATACATAACATTCTTTGGAGTGGATAGGTGGCACTGGACCCCAGATAAACTTTCCAAATGTTATAAGAATGTTACGGATGCTTGTTGGAGATGTAAAAATTTGACAAGACAAAAAGTTGCTGTACAAGTTCAGGTTCTTATGCATAACAATAATAATTTAATATATGTTCTTTTGTTTCAATAGCTGAACATCCAGAGACCGAAGTCCCAGCACGAGACGAACTTGCATAAGAACCTGAACTTGTACAGCAACTTTTTGTCTTGTCAAATTCTCTAGAGCTGCTGGGTCCTTGTTTGTTTCTTTGGAGATGTAAAAATAACATAGGAACTTTTTACCATACTTGGTGGAGATGTGAAAATATATGCGGTTTTTGGAAAATGGTTAAAAAAATTGATAAAAGAGATAACAGATATAGAATTGCAACTCCGTCCTGAAACTTTTCTTCTGAACATAGTACCAGATAGATTAAATAAGGACGATCACTGTGTTATCCTATATATTCTCACAGTAAGCAGAATCCTTGCAGCTAAAAAATGGAAAACGGATACAATACCTAGAAGAGATGAGATAATCGAAAAAACCCTTGAAATAGCGGAAATGGACAAATTAAACCAAATACTAGCAGGAAGAGATGATAATGCATTTAAGAAAAGGTGGTAGATAAATGGCTGGGGGAAAAATGTATAATGTACACTCCAAAGATTTATTTCAATATGGGATTCTGCGAATCACAGCTCCTTCCCTCAGATATCTAACATTTGATTGGACCGCTCGTCCCGCTCATCAAAGCAACACACATAAGGACGATTTACTTACAGTGACAAAAACTGATGCCAGCAGCAGGCCCACAGAATAGATAAGTCCCCGACTGTTCAACTGAATCTGAAAAGTTCATGTAAACAGTTTCCGAGTTATGCACTTGTTTCTAATTGAGAGCACTTATAATCAATAGAAATCTGTATTCGGAAAGTTTAAAATGTGAGAAATGACACGTCATAGCCTTTTCAATCAAAGAGGACATTAGGTCCTGGAGCTCCCCCCCCCCCCCGGGTTCTGTCTGTAGTAACGTCCCGCATTTAACCTACACAAAAACAATGAGAAAAAGGAAATTCCATCTCTGTCTACAAGGATAGTTTATAGCAGGGGCGGCCGAAGTTGCTTAACGTAAGAGCCACATAGAATGAACGTCAGCTGGCTGAGAGCTGCAAGACAAATATTACACACACGTTAAATGAGACTGCCAAAAATAAAAACAAAAGGGGTAAAAACAGATATTGATAATAATATTTATTTGCCCAATGATATTTATTTGTCAAAGAGAGAGAGAAAGAGAGAGAGAGAGGTGGAAAGAATGAAAGAGGTGGAAAGAAAGAGAGAGAAACAAAGAAAGCAAATAGATGGGAAAGTGAGGGAGGGGGAAGGAAGGAAAAGAGAGAGAAAGGAAGGAAGGGAGAAAGGGAGAAAGAGAGAAAAAGAGAAAGAAAGGTGGAAAGAACACTGGCTGCGGAAGGGAAGCCCGATCGGGGACGCGTGCCTCCCCTTCACTTCCTCAGCTGCCCTGCCGGGAGCCGCACAATAAGTGTGAAAGAGCCGCGTGTGGTTCCCGAGCCGCGGTTTGGCCACCCCTGGTTTATAGGGAAGAAATATGTCAGCTTCTTGTCCAAGCAAGACAACAGGCTCCCTAACACCACGCTGCGCTGCTGGCACAAGTCAACAGCTTTAAACACTGCAGCATCAGAACGGCCTCGTCACATGAGATTATATGTCTGGGATCCTGATTGCGAAGGAGCCCATGGCAACATGTTAGGGATGCCAGCCTCCAGGTGGGGCCTGGGGATCCCTCAGAATTACAGCTCATCTCCAGACAGCAGAGATCAGTTCCCCTGAAGAAAGTGGATGCTTTGGAGGGTGGAGCCTAGAGCACTGTACCCCATCGGGGCCCCTGTCCTCCTTAGATTCCATTCCCAAATTTCCAAGAGTTTCCCTCGATCCCAACCTGGATCTGGCAAACTTACCCCCACATCCCGCTCACTGGTGGTTGGGGGGCAGGGGCGACAACCCTACAACTTTTTTGTACCAGCCAAGAGAAGAAGAAGAAGAGGAGGAGGAGGAGGAGATTGGATTTATACCCCGCCCTTCACTACCCAAAGGTGTCTCAGAGCGGCTTACAAACTCCTTTCCCTTCCCCTCCCCACAACAGGCACCCTGGGAGGTAGGCTCCTAGCTCATGTCACCACTAGGGCAGGGGTCCCCTACCTGGTTCCCGCTGGCCACGTGGTTTTTAGAAGAGGAGGAGGAGGAGGAGATTGGGTTTATACCCCGACCTTCACTACCCAAAGGAGTCTCAGAGCGGCTCACAAACTCCTTTCCCTTCCCCTCCCCACAACAGACACAAACTGCTCTTTTTCAAGAACAGCTCTGACAGAACTATGGCTTGCCCAAGGTCATCCAGCCAGGTGCAAATGGAGGAGTGGGGAATCAAACCCGGTTCTCCCAGATTAGAGTCTGCGCACTTAACCACTACACCAAACTGGCTCTCCAGAGAAAGGATGTCTGGGAACCATTAAGGGTCCAGCAGAGCAGGCCACATTAGATGCAACAGAACTGCAGATCTGTTGTGCTCACGGCAGCGCCGTCTCCTGGCGGAAGAAGCCATCCCTTGATGCAAGGGTGGTGCCGTCTGAGAGGAAGGCCCTTTCTGCACTCTCCTTTTCATCCATGTTCACCGTGGTGTCCTCCAAGCAATTCGGCACTGAAATCGAATCCAACCTTCTTTTTAATCCAGGTCCCCCCCCCCTTCTGCACTAAAATCGAGTTCAACCTGCTTTTTATTACGCCCCCCCCATTCTGCATTACATGACCCCCCCTTCAGTGGTCAGCCCAGTTCCAGCCTGCTGTTGCCCCGGGTTATTCGGATGCTGTTTTGCTGTGTACTTAAATGGCCTCGACTCGAATACGGAGAAAATCCACAGTGGCCGGCCACTGTGGAAAGGACCTGTTTCACAGCCGTCACCACGACAAATCCATGGGAACCAGACCTCGTGACTGAAAGAAAACAGCTATTTGGGGGGGCGGGGGGCAATGTTCCCTCTAAGCTGTGGAGTCTTGTGAGCAAAAAATTCTACTCTGTGAGCTACCGGCATTGAAGTTGTGAGCCAGCAATTTGGCTACTGCATAAATTAGTTTGCTCTGGAGCCATCCTTCCTGAGCTAAGGCACAAATGTGTGAGCCGGAGGCTAAAAAACTGTGAGCTAGCTCATGCTAACTCAGCTTAGAGGGAACACTGGCAGTGGGGGATTGTTGATTACGTTCCATGAGAGACAGAGGCAGCTGAAATGGAGGTTTAGGCTGGAGACAGAGAACAGCTGCCCCCCCCCCCCCCCAGGGAACACGGTATTTTGAAAGAAGAATTGCTCCTTTTGTTGGGTAAACCCATCCTACTGTTGTCTCTGGTAAATAAGCCCAACAGGGTTTCGTACCGTTTCAAAATCCTGCCAAACCCGACTAGAGATGATGGTGGAATTAATCTATTCACTCAATCCCTGCCAGAGTTCTCCGGTCAGCCAGTCGATATATATGAAACACAACCATTCTTCCGACACATTTTACAAGGGCATAATCTAAAGTTGGTTAGTTCGTGTGTGTGTGTCGGGTTTGTTTTCTTTAGAGTGCGGGAATATTTTTAATGGCGAGTTGCCATTTGTTCGGGAGGCGCAGAGGAGAACTTAGCAGAGCAGTGTTCTTCCAAAGGTGATGGGTCGGCTTCCAGGGCTTGGTTGCTCAGCTGGCCTGACAGATGTACGGGCAGAAGAGAGAAAAAGCATTCGTCCATCACCCCAAAATAACTGTGGGGATAAAAGTTCACGCGCCCCGTCCAACAACACAGCCCTTGTTTGTTCAACAGCTGGACTGTTTAACTGTTCCGTGAATTTGTCTTTTAACCTAATGAGTGATTCAAATCGGAATTTTCTGCATCGAAGCAGATTTACTGAGTTGCCAGCTCAGGAAATAATGCTCCCACAGTACATCGGCAGCAGTTTTACCCATTTCTCGGTTACGTTTGAAAAACGGCAAACTTTGAAGACAGCCACAAAGCAGAAAACAAAATACTTCTTTTTTTTCTTTTGCTTCACACACAAGAATTTAGACAGCAACCACATCTGTCCTCAACGGGTGGGTCACGACCCAGGGTAAGGCAAATTGCACTATCAGCCTCTATATTTTTGTTAGGGTTTTTTTTAAAAAAGGGGCAGAGACATACACAGAGAGGAGGAGGAGGAGGAAGACTCTCTTTCCTGGCTGGCTTAGGGCCAAACGAAATGTTACATCTGAAACAAATTGGGACATGGGTCCGTGTCTCACAGAAGAACAGGGTGTCTTACCCCAACAGTGCTCTGCTGTTCCGTTCAGCTCTGGAGCACAGGGAAGTGGGAAGAAGGCCTTCCAGGCTCCCACCTGAGAAGTTTTCACCAGATGAAATGGCTACAGGGTGCCCGGTTTGCCCTTTCCTGGCTCCAGGTGTCCTAGGAAAATCATGTGCGGCCAGAGAACAGGCCAAACAGGTCCCTCACAGCCAGAGGTCATTTCGGGGGGGATGGCGGGGGATCGCAGTTCCCCCGGGTGAGGTACGGGGGGCGGGGCACATGACGAAGCCCCGCCCCCTGCTTCCGGCCGCCCTGCTTCCGGCCCTCATTCAGCCAGGAGGAGGCAGGAGAAGAGGGAGGGTAAGTTGCTTCCTCCCTGCCTCTCCCCACCCCTGCCTGCCTGGGGCCAGGGAGGGCCTTCGCGGGGCTCCCTCGCACTTCCACCGGCCTTGCAGGTCCACCACCGGGCCCCTCATGGGGCTCGGCAGTGGAGCTGCAAGGCCGCCGCTGGCGGCCGGGACCGTTGGGGGCAGGGTGTGTGGCCTTATGACACACTTCCGGTGATGTCAGGGTGTGTGGCCTTATGACACACTTCCGGTGATGGCAGGGGGTGTGGCATATGCTAATGAGTTATGCTAATGAGTTCCCCTAGCTCTTTTTCTACGAAACGACCCCTGCTCACAGCCATGGCCACTGGCAAAAACTGCTCAGCTGGAGGCTAGAAATCCTTCCTCCCTTCCTCACAGCGTTTTAGAGCCAAAAGAAGCAATGGAACACTGTTCAGGTAAGATATCCTGTTTCTCTGTGTGACAGTGATTCAGGACAAGCACCTGCGTCTCAACATGTGTCAGACGTAACATCTGTTTTGGCTCTTAGACCTGGTTGTAAAGGAAAGCAAGTGAGGATATACAAGACAAAGAGAGAGAACAAAGAACAAACTTCTCCAGTTGCCTGCACACAAAAGCTTATACCCAGAATTAAACTTTGTTGGTCTTAAAGGTGCCACTGGACTCAAACTCTGTCCTGTTGCTTCACACCAACATGGCTACCCCACCTGAATCTAAGAAAAAGAGATGATTTTGTTGTTCTTTCATACCACAGCTAGATGTCAGTCATAAAAGCTGTAAACGAACTGCAGGACAGTTCAGTACTATGAAGTGATTTAGCTGACTTCCTTGAATCATTATAATTATAAAAGGTAAAGGTTCCCTTGCTCGAAAGCCAGTCGAGTCCGACTCTAGGGTTGCGGTGCTCATCTCCGTTTCCAAGCCGAAGAGCCAGCGCTGTCCTGAGACGTTTCCGTGGTCATGTGGCCGGCATGACTAAACACCAAGGCGCACGGAACGCTGTTTCTATTATATGTTTAAATTATAATTATAACTGACTATTTTTAACAGATAGGCTGTGTGCATGTTGAAATAGTTCGAATAAATGCGACGAGACCGAATAATAAACAAAAAGGGCCTCATTTCCCCGGGGAAAATCCTCTGGGGTGAAAATTTGCCGGGACAGTTGGCA